TTCAAAAGAAATGCAGTTTATAAATAAAATAAAATTCAGAAACATGTATGTGAATAAACACAATTGAAGTACCAGTCCTATTAATGAATCAGGGTTGCCACGCTACCTGGAAAACCGGGAAAAGTCAGGGAATTCGAAAATTGACCAAAAAATTCAGGGAAAAGTCAGGGAATTTAAGTATTTTTGTCAAAAATCTGGAAAAGTCAGGGAAGTTCATACAATGATCCCGCCAAAAAAAAAGCGATTTTGCGCCGACGTCGGAAGAGATAACTTTTTTGGAGAATTGGCCTATCACGTGAGTGTCTGCTGGCATAGAGCCAATTTTCGCAGCTCCAATTTTGATTGCCTTTTAGAAAGGCAAAGCAAGTTTCCCGCAACTTTTGGTTTCCAGTATTCTCGAGAATCGCACGTGCAGGCATGAACTAAAGAAAGTACCTGTTCTCGTATAAAAACAAAATGGGTTTAATCTTAGTATACGGTACCATGGAAGTTAGAATCAAAGAATATGTATTGTAAAGAAGGAAAACCTCTCTGCAACAGACGTGGCTCCGTTCCATCATAGAGGGAACAGCTGTGCATGCGTGATATGTCTATCTGCCGCCAAAGCTGGAAACCGGTTCGAGTTCGAAGGTCACGTTATCAAGAGTTCATTAAATGAATATCCTTTAAAATTTCTTTAACCACTTGCGCTAAAAAGACGTGCTACGCACGTCGAGATGTTTTTGTTTCAAACTGCGAGCGACGTGAACACCACGTCGATAAGCATTTATCGCAAAAATGAAAATAACATGGTGCACACGCCTAACAACGAGATTGTTTATTTCTCGAGTTACAGCTCTGGATTGCACTCGCAGATGCAGAGCGGAGTAAATGAGACACTTTACCACTTACTATATTGTAGCGCACGGCACCGCAACCGTGAAGTTTAGTCTTAGCGCAAGTAGTTTTAAACTCTAAATTAAAGAAAATATTTTTTGGCGCAAGTAAATTAATTCATAGGTTAGTAATTTTCAGGAGGGGGGGGAAACTACGAAAATCCGTTTTTAAAATTATTGCGAAAAATCCAAGAAGAAACGTCCTTTGATAAAAACGTTTCTTCTTGGATTTTTTTTCGCAATAATTTAAAAACGGATTTCGTAGCTTCCTTTTTGTCAAAGAACGTTTCTTCTTAACACGTTCTCAATTTCCGGTACACATCGCGGGAGGGAAATTCTGGCCGCCAGGTTCCGTCGCCAAATCCCTTGGCAAATTTTCCCTCCGCATTCTAGCGGCGTAATAGCATTTTACTTGTATGGAAAATTTCTTCTTACATAGACCAAAGAATTAGAGATTCTTTGCATAGACGTTTTTTCGTTAAAATAATCTCCATGTATGGATTTGGCGACATGATGATGCGCAGTAAACGGGTCATTTTGGTCTTGGCGACAATTTTCAAAATCGTGCCAAAGCCTTACCGTATACTAGAATTTTACCGCAAAATCTTTTAAACTTTTCTTTTTAATAAATACCTTGCCATTTTTGCAGTAAAATAAAAAATACTAATCTGTCATCTAGGCTAACCATGTAATATAACTATATTCGCTAAAATATCGTTGATTATTCTAATTCAATTTTTAAGTAATTATCTTTATTTTTATGTTATTCGTATAATTTATAATGCTTCTTCCCTCTAAATTTATTATTATTAGTAAATAATATTTCTAAATTTCAGGAAATTTTCTCTGGCATAATCTTGAAATTAATTCTAGCAGTATGATGACATACCATCACGAAATTTAATGCACATTTTTTTTCTTATGTATGCTGCGAACTAAATATAAAATACCTCAATTTATTAAAATAGATTTCTTTTTTCGTTTAGCTGCAGAATGTCTGCAAAAAAAAGCCTTATTTTATTCCAGATTGGGAAGATTCTAATCTCAATCTTCAATGGGAAAACAACAACTATTATAATTATATTTGTGTTTTCAAGTGTTAAGGTGCTTTTTAAGAACATACCTCACACAAATTAAATTTACCTAAAATCTAACCTAACTATTTAGCATTGCGTTGTGATTTATAAGGACCGGATTAGCCTCATGTTGAACTGGTGATGATCATGAGTAATAATTAAATAAAACATTACATTGTTATCCAATGTATATATCTTAAATTTTATTAAGTTTCTTAAGTGGAAAAGTAAACAAAATTATCAAACAAAGTATACCAAGAATAATTAAGAATAAATGTCCTCTGGGATTTATTGAATAATTAAGTGAATTTGCTACACAATACAAGTAATACCATAATTTACCTCTTAGTGTAGCCAACGTACATTACGCGGATAGACTGGAATTTTCTTGAAACGCACCTGGAAAAGTCAGGGAATTTCATTCTCCTGTTTGAGTGGCAACCCAGATGAATTGAAATTTTTTAATTAGTTATTTGAAGAATTATTTATTACAGTTTTAGCCACGCAATTCAAATAATTAAAATGAAATTCTAAATAGAATGTATTTAAAAATAACAACTAAAAAATACAGTGAAACCTCAAGATACGAGTTTAATTCCTTCCAGCATTGAGTTCGTATAGCGAATTTCTTGTATCTAGAAACAAACTTCTCCATTGAAAGTAATGGAAATCCAGTTAACCCGTTCCGCAACCCCAAAAATATCAACTAAAAATCAATTTTTCTAATAAATAACACTGGTAAATTATATAAATGTAGTTTACCTTTATGATAGCTTCCGACGCTGACCTTTTTAATGTTTCTTGTTAATCCACACCAACAACAGCTTCTCTACATCTTCTAGGAGTTTTGGATGGTGCTTGGAAGTAATGGTAACTCCTTTGGCTCATCAAGTTTCTTAATTTCTTCCTGCTTCTTCAAAATAGTGTAGATCATTGAAGTCGATAGGCCATTAGTCTTCGCCAATTCCGTCACCCTTACACCGCACTTACGTTTATCTATGATTTCTTCCTTAATTTCAACAGCCATGGCTTCCTTATTTTTCTTTGCAGCACTATCTGAGGCAACAATCTTCTTGGGAGGCATCGTGAAATAATTATTTTCACGTTAAATTTAAAAAACAATTAACTCACAAGCACATAATAACATAGATCAAAGAACACTCAGTGGTCTGACAAGGGGATTTCCTGAGTCGAACCAGATCGGGAAATGGTGCCACACATACCAACAGCCTGGCTCATTGCTTGTTACTCGAGTCAGTGCTTGTATTTAGAGACAAATTTTTCAGTCATACTTTCCTCGTATCTCGAATTTCTCATATGTATATATATAGAGGTGCTCATATCTCGAGTTTCCACTGTAAAGTAAAAATATATGCAAGAAAGAAGAAATGAGAATTTTTTCCCTGCTCGCTCAGAATGAAAGGGCTGAAAACAAAATAGGTTTCCATGTACTGAGAAGTTCTTCAAGTGAATTATTCTTGGCACAAAGTGGAAAAAGAAGTGTGCCAAAGTAAATTTTTTAGTTACCCTTTAAGCGTAACACCAAATTTTACAAAATTTAGTTTTTAGGCATAATTTGAGTTGTAGAATCGAAGTATGGAAAGAAATTTGCATGTCATTTCAGAAAAATTCCAATTTTGTCTCAAAATACATATGTTAGTACAACACTATGTATGGAACTTATATAAATCTAATACATATACTAAGTCACACTTTTGAGAAATTTAAAATGCAAGTTTAATTACGTGAATCAGTCTAATAGATCGGAAGAGGCCAAACAAACTATTTCGAAAATTATATGAAATCTTTCTAAAAATAAGGATCATAGAAAATTTCTAGAATCCTGAAAAAGTGCTTGTCATATATGATATTTCTATATAGCAAATAGTCGTCCTGAATTATATACATTTTAATTACATTAAAGTAATATATTAAAAAATACGAAGTTGGTGTGAATGATTTATTCATTTTGAAAAGGGTATATTTTCAAAAGTTAAGTTACACACACAAAAAGTATATGAAAAGAACCACAAACTCACCAAGTTTTTTTTTTTTTTTTTTTTTTTAGTATTTTATTAAGTTTCCCGGATAAGTGAAATGCTGCTTCATTGCTGAATATCATCTTGGTGGCGAAATCTTCGTCCTCCATTGTTGACGCACAAAATCTAGTCAACAGGCATAATCCTCCGGCTTTAATTGTTGCCAGACCTATACATGGTAGGGTTTGAAATGCAACCATTGATACAAAATTTTTACACAGTTTTTGTGGTATTCTGGTCATCTGGTCAATTGACAGGATGAACATATGGGGAACAATGCTACAAAATATATGGAATGAGCTTGATTATCATCTGGACATGTGTCATGTCACCAAAGGGGCACATATTGAATGTTTGTAGAGGATGTGTAAACTTGGTGAGTTTGTGGTTATTTTCATGTATCTTTTGTGTGTGTATACAAAATACTTTTGAAAATATAGCCTTTTCAAAATGAATGAATCATTTAGGCTAACTCTGTGTAATAGACAGGTTTTATATATATATTAGACAAATAATGTTAGAAATGCTATGATTACTATGCCACTTAAGATATAAGAAGAAGTTTATGACAGTGCATGCAAAATCTTTCTCATGAAGGTTCCTGGCTCTTTGGTCAAATTTAGAGTAACATGCGATTTCCATTAACCATCAGCACAATTTTCAATTTTTTAAACATTACAAGCTGTATATTATTTTAAAACATTTACTATGTAATAAAGTATCTTAAATGATAGTATGTAGTGGTATAAGATTTGCAAGCATGGATTTACATGAAATTAAAGCAACTTTTTGCAGTTATGTAATGTCCAAGTAAATCCACAATTTGAAAACTATTAGGAAGCATTCATTAAAATTCATAACCTTCTTTTCCTGGAATAGCTTTAGTTATACATGAATTTTTTGCCTTTCTAAAATTTTTACTGCCTTTAGTAAGTTTAATACATTTTAAGTCTGTATATTTTAGAAATGTGTTTTCATATTTGTTTAATTTTTAAATATTTTTTATGCAGGTTTTAGGAGAAGGCCAAAACCGGCAAGTAACACTTACTCATCGAACTCAAGTAAAACGGTTTGCTGCTGAATTATTAAGAATTTTAAAGTCTCGTGCCAGCAAGCAAATTACTGTTTCTGAATTTCCACAAGCATATGAGCAAGTTATAGAAAAACCTTTTGAAATCATCAATTATGGAGTATGTGAAATCGAAGACATGCTAGATGAAGTTCCTGATAATATAATAGTTGTAAGTTTTGGTTTTTATATTATTGTATTTCCATATTATTGGCAGTTTTGAAATTTTCTTATTCCTGTTTATGGATAGTTTAAGAAAAAAATGAAACTACACATTATAATTTTTTTTCTATAATTCTTGCTTTTTTTTTTTTTTTTTTTCTTTTTAATTTTCTTGTCGAATATAAAATGTATATAGGGTAGCCAAAATAAAACTGCCTGGAAATTGTATGTAATTCTAACACTAAACTTACTCTTGTCAATGAACAGTAGAACTGTTCTTAACAGAAAATGCTGGATAGTGTAATGAAGTTTTGAAGAAATCTCACCGTTTTCATCGATCAACCAACTTTATTATTCAAACTTGCAGAATAACTGAAAAACATTTTAAGTGCATGCATCTTCCAGCATGGATATTCTATGTGCAAGGTTTCTTTACATTTCTTACTGGTATTATGTTGGTAGCGTAGCAACACAAATACGTTGCAGTGTTAAATTCCTTCCTTCACAAATTCCTTCAACTTTTCTTAGAAAAGTTTTCCTTTCAATTTGATGGAACTTAAAAGAAAAATTTTCAGTTTAAATACTTTTTTTTTTTTTTTTTTTTTACGAGACAAAGGTGTTTAAGCATATCTGTAACAAATGCAATTAGATACCTGACCAAATGAGTACAAGTGCTTTCAAAGAAATATTTTTAATAAACATATAAAATTTAATATTCTAATGTTAGAAAAATTTAAACAATGAAGTATTAAACTTCCTAGAATATATATTTTTAGTTGTGAGAGTTTTTGGATACAACGACTTAAATTGTCAGTGTTTTGATGGTGCTTCCTCTTTCTATGCGCAACTTCATAGTTAAAAGGTTGTAAAATCAAAGCCCATCATAGTAGTCTAGTATTAGTCCCAGAGTTTTTATCCAACCATACTAGAGGATTATGACCAGTCTGAATGATGAACTTATGAGGTCCATCTAGGTAGAATTTTAACTTTTGTAAAGACAATGGCAGCACACTCTCTTTCGATTGTACTGTACTCCTGTTCAGTAGGTGAAAACTTTTTGCTAAAAAATATTGAATGTTCTTCGCCTTTAGCATTTATCTGTGATAATACAACACCAATACCAATATTCAAAGAGTTGCACTGACCAATAAATGGGTGATAAACGTTTGTGCTGTATAAGATTAGATTTTGTGTTAACAATTTCTTGAGTTCATCAAAAGCGTTTTGGCAGTCATCAGTCCAATTTATGGTTGATTTGCAACATTTTTCTTTTAACAAAAATTGTCACTTGTGCAAAAATCAGAGAAAACTCTGAAATATACTTTACGAAATGTACAGGCGCGGTAAGATGGCAGTTTTAGGGTTGCCATAAAATGGCAAGGGAAGGCAGGGTTGCCACATTTGGTGAGAAATCGCCCATTTGGGGACAAAATTGGCAACATTCCATGGACGGATGGAGAACCTTCTGGAACGAATTCTTTCCGCTTTAGCCCAGAATGTTCTCGAACACAAGCCGAAAGCTATGTAAACCCTGATGGTCCGCAGTCAGTTAGAGAGTGTCTCAGAGTGTGTGCTTCATCGAGTTGGTGTCTCCTCTAGCGAGTCAATCCCTGCAGAGTCGATCGAGTTGACAGCTGGGCAACGAGTGCCGAGTGGGTCTTCGAGTGCACCGAAGGAGTCTCTTAGTGTATCGCGGTTAGTGCATCGCCGAGAGAGCATGTTGAGCTCCGGAAATGACAGAACCGAAGAGTCGGGAGCCGTGCTCTGTGTGTCGTCGAGTGCATCGCATTTTGTAGCATGGAGAGTCTTGAGACTACGTGGAGTTCCGAGAACGACCAAGGAGATTCGAAAGCTGTACTCTGGCGCTTTGCGGTGAAGCTGTCTCCACCGTGATAGTCTGATAACCTGAAAGCTGTGTTGCTGATTGTATCAGCGTATTTATAGTATTTCTTCGAGGATTGTAACATGATTTTGGAGCTGTCCTGATTAGTACTAGCCAATAAAGTGTGTTTCGATGCTGATTGTATCAGCATATTTATAGTATTTCTTCGATGACTGTAACATGATTTTAGAGCTGTCCTGATTAGTACTAGCCAATAAAGTGTGTTTCGATACTTCTTCAACTAGTGTCGTCGTTATTCACTCCAAATCCATACGAACCCTGTATGAACATGAAGGAAGAAAACAACGTAACAACTGGTGTCAGAAAGAAAAGAAAAACGCAACAATACCTTCGATAATACCCCTCTCCTAAGAAAGACCAGACGTGTGTTTTCGTGGTAGATTTAGGAAAGTCTTTTATGGATAGGATTTTTATTTCTGCTTCTCATCTTTGACCTTGTTCTACTACATGGCCTAGATATTTGACAGTCGTATGAGTAAATTGACATTTCGAAGCCTTAATATGCAGTTTAGCAATTTTCATCTTCTCCAAAATAATTTTTAAGTGCTTCAGATTTTCTTCCCAGGTTTGCAAGAATACTGTGACATCGCCAATATAGAGTACAGCAAATTCTTCACAGTTTCTTAATAATCCTGCGATCTGCCAGTAACTTCGAGTAAGATCTAGAGCAGTTATATATATGGAAGATGACAATTTTTCCACTAAATGTTCAATGTTTGGCAAGGGAAAATATTGTATCCTGGTTGCCTTGTTCAAGCGACACTTTTCAATGCATGGTCTTGCCTCTTTTCCAGGACTTTCAACCAGTATGAGTGGAGAGGTAAAATCCGATTCACCTGGTTCTGTTACTCTGAGTTTTATTATCTTTCCTGCTTCAGCTTTTAAAATCTCTGTCTGGCAGATATCCAATAAGGTTTTGCACATATTGGTCTTTCTGCTTCTAGTTCTATATCATGTTCAGTAATGTCAGTACATCCTAGTTCATTAGAGATAATACAGGAATGCTTGTATATCAACTGCTTTAAATCTTTTCATTGCTCTTCAGATAATAGTGAATTCAAATGCATGCCTTGCAAAACTTCACGATATTTCAGTATCAGAGCTATAATTTAGAATCGGTATTTCATCTTCGTGGTCATTTATCCTCTCTTCTAAACATAGCAAGTTTATATATTTTCTGCTTGTTGAATATACGGTTTCAGCACAATAATGTGGTACACCTGAGTTTTATTTTTCTCGGGAAACTCGACTACATAATTTGTCTCATATAATTGTTGAACTATTTTTTCAGGACCTAGCCGTTTAACTGATACAGTACAAAGTCTTTAATCCAGACATCCATAATCTGGAATGATCTATAATCCGCACCTCAAAGCTACAAACTTTCTACCCATGCATAAATGCATAATGTGTTTACGCATGCGCATTTAATGTATAACGGACGGTATAAGCTAGGCTAAAATTATCTAATTATCTATTTCAGTTAATATTGCAGATTGCGTTGTTCCTTAATCTTGTAATTGGATCCGGCTTATTATTTTTTGCAGACTGTTAGAGCAATTTTATAAAAAGTAAGCTTGAACTTTTGATTATGTCAAAAAGAGTTCGATTCTGGATCTACAAAGCGGAAGCATGTTTCGATATCCATCAAACAAAAAGTGGAATTGCTGCAAAAAATGGGTAAGGGCATGAAGAAAGTGACAAAGAGGTTAGTGAAAAAGAAAAAATTTCGCTTGGCAAGTTAGTTGGTATTTTCAGCACATCAATTACAGGACTTAAACAGCGAAACTTTGTAACTGAACAGGAAATTATGTCTGTTTATAAAATGAAAGAGAAAGTATTAGCACATAAAACAAAGCAACTTAAACAACTTGCATTAAAAGAAATGTTTAATAAAGTAAACAAATGAATATTAAGCTTTTTTTTTTTTTTTTTTTGTAAATTTTGATACCCTTCAGATCATAATTGCTCTTTATTTCATAAATTATGGTTTCATATTTTTAATTTTATAATTTCTGCATACCATCTTACCAGATTTAAATTGATGATCTATAATCTGGAAAAACCCCTAATCCGGAATTGCCGAAGCCACGACGAGTCCGGATTAAAGATTTTGTACTGTATTTTGTTTGGCTTCGATGGAGCTACAACTAGAACTAAGTCTCCTGCTTGAAATTTAGGTTCTATGGCTTTCTGATCATACCAGAGTTTTTGCCTTTCTTTGGCTTCTTCCGTATGTTGGACGGCAAGTTCTTGACATCTCCTCATTCAATTCATTAGTTTGAAAATATAGTCCACTATGGTATTTTATTTCTCTTCTTTACCGGGTAATTTTTCATACAATAGCATAATTGGAGATCTTAAGTTTATGCCGTGAACTAATTCTGCAGGCCAGAAACCAGTACTGTCGTGAATAGTGGTTCGAAGAGCAAATAAAGCCTGAGGTAAGATTTTATCCCAGTCCGGACCAGATTCTAGACATAGGACTCGAAGAATTCTTTTTAAAGTTCTATGTGTCCTCTCTACAGGATTGCTTTGGGAGTGGCAAACAGAACTTCATACAACTTTAATTCCGAATTTTTCTAGGAAATCCAATGTCAGCGCACTCATGAAAGATGTGGCTTGGTCAGTTGGTCAGTTTGCACCTCCTTTGGAAATCCCATTTGATTAAAAATGTGAAGGAAAACATCAATAGTCATGGTTGAACAAAGATTTGTGACTGGAACTGCATCCAGATATATTTCAAAGGTGCTTTCTTTTTATCTTGTGGCTTTCCAATTTTTTGACATTTGTCACAAGTTTTAACAAAATTCTCAACATCTTTATAACAATTTGGCCAATATAAAAATTTTTGAATAATGCATCTTTGGTCTTTGTCGGACCAAGATTGGCTGCTATGTCTTCATGACAAATAGTCATCAACTGTTTCCGATATTTTTTCAGGAACAACAATCAATAGTCTTTGTGTTCCATCATGATTTTCTTTTTTGAAAAAGAGCATTTAACCTTTCAACATATACCTCATGCCTTTAGAAGATTTTATTTTAGCTTCTTCATAAAATGGTTTCAATTTGATGCTCTCCTTCTGTTCTTGTATACATATTTCT